GTGAATGAGAACACTGGTGGGGACAATTGAATGTATTTAGGCACAAATCACAGACCATCTCACTAAATTCTGATAACCATAAAGTAAACATTTAATTTGCAAAATAACCATCAATTGTCTCAATCTTAACTGTTATATCCCCCGGTGAATTACGAATGGTAACTTTTAGGTCTATTTATGGATCAATGTAATATGCCTATTTCCTATTGTACAATTATTACGTAACTAAACTATTCATATTCGTATTTCTCTTATCATTAGCTTTATTTTGACCATTGACTTATTATCATACGATTCTTGAATTATAATCAGTTTATTGATTACTTTGTTTTGTATAAAAATCCAGTGTGTTTGTAAATAATAATTCATATTGCCGAGGATGTTATTTGTGTTCTGGACTCAACTAGCTGGGCTAGGTAGATAGGAAGGACCGAATAGCACCCAAGACTGCTAGTACAATTTTATGCATCACTGCTCCAATCGATAATCACTCCTCTCTCATTGGCACGTACGCAACCATACGTTATAACATTAACTGTTCCTCCTACCGATTGCGCTTCCTTTCTGTTAGTTCCTTATCGATCTTCTGCCAAAATATATTCTATGCCTGACCCTCACCATATACTACTTATATGGATATAAGTAGACCACATCACAATAATAGTGATATGAATGATTAAATTTTTACACCGATAACTTTTAAACAAAAACAATATAATTGTATGCACTTTTATACATAAATGATAGATTGTAAATATTTATATAAATAAATCTATGGAATACAATTCAACTATATAAAATTACTAAACTCTCCACCAAACCCCTCTTCGAATACAATTTAAATAAATTTTCCATTTCCGGTTTATTATTATTATTTTTTATTTTAATAACCTTGACTTCATAATTAGTTTTCAACGTAAAATTTTCCTAGTCGTATACAATCATTAATAACTAATTATTATTCTAAATGGATTTATAGCAATTTCAAAAGAAGGTTAATTTCTATATTAATAATCATTATAATCAGAAGGGGGTTTTGTGAATCATATGCTCACTAGTGACTAGCTCTATGAAGTATTTCCAAGAGTTCTAGTGAGAAGCAGTGAGTTCAACCAGATCTGTTGTGAGATCGTAACTCACTGAAGACATTGGTAAATGGTTGCTCAACTTCGTGGATTGGTTAAAGTTAGACATTAACACCGTTGGATGCCAACCGGCTCAGTGATCTAGTAATTAAGCACTCACGCGCGAGACTGATAGGTCCTGGGTTCGGATCTCAAGAGGCTGGATCGTGGATGCGCACTGCTGAGGAGTCCCACAATGGGACGAAATGGACGTCCAGTGCTTCCAGGTTTTCGATGGTGGTCTAGCTTCAATTGACTCATGAGTTCAAATATATAATAATAATCATTGCCCACATTATTGTCATTATTATTAGTAGTAGCAGTAGTGGTAGTAATGTTAGCAAGTGTATGATAGACTCTCCAAATAATCTCAATCCAATATATTTGTTGATATTTCATGTTTCTAAGCATAATGTCTACTAAGATTATAATCCTGTGGAACATAGGCATGTAAGTTGTGTTTTTTTTAAGGGGACTTCTTCATTGTATCTGACAACATTTACCAATATAGATGACTTAAAGGATAATAAAGGACAGTTAAGACTTACATTCCGCAAAATCTATTAGATACAAGATATTTAACATCAGATTCATAAATTGGAGGCTATTTACAAGATTAATTTACACTTTCTAAGAGGTTAATGCCTAAGAATTCTAGATATCCGGGATTTAAAATCAGAATTATACATAAAAAACAATTTTTTTAGTCACCTCTACTTTACTGTCCTCTTATTGTTAGCACATTTTATCATCATACTTACAAAAAAGCTCATAATTAAAACTCTTGATTGTGATTGATATTACAAGGACGATTATCCTGGATTTTTCGATTGATGTCATTTACATTTACCCTGTTTACATGTGATAGAAGAGTTCGATTGGCTAAAATTTATCTCTTTCATTTCGACGACCTTGATCAGGTCGGTTAATTGTAGGCTTTCCAACTTTAAAACGTTTGAAGTCCATCAGATTTCTGTAGGTTGGTATAGTGTTCTCGTGTTCGTATATTCAGGTAGTCTGTTAACATTTGAAAATCATTAAAAATAACGTAGATTGTGGCTTTTTCTTATTTCTAATGTGAATTTTAGCTTGTTTGTTATTTGGTAATTGTCCATGCTGTAGTTGCGGAAATTCGATCTCCATGTCTCTGAAAGACTATTCATATGTGTGTAATAATAACTGACGAAACAGTCGTGTTTAAGATAGAAACGCATCATCATTGTCAATACGACAGGCTTACAAATCAATGAATCTAATAAGAATTATCAGCATTTTTTATAGTCGTCTTCACGACAAGTATCTAATGTAAAAGTATAATTTAATACAAACAGCATCAGTCTGTGTTATGTCCTTAGCTATACGATATCGCAAATACGATTGACAATTTAGATACGCTGACTTATACGACCAAACGAATGACGCATACACCAGTACGATCAACCTAGAGTTCTTATTAGTTCTTTTTCTGCCTAACCCAGCCTATTGAGTCCAGAACACCAATCTCAGCTTCCACGATATGAATCGCATATTTCAAACATACTTGGTTTATATACAAACAAATCAGACCATATCACACAATATAAGAGAGGATAACATTTGTACAAGATCAATCCAAAAAGTGAATGTTGTTGGAAGGGACTCTCACTAATGAATTGGGAATATCTCAAGAATAGTAAATCGTATGATAATAATCAATAGGTCAGATAATGGCTTATAATGAAAGGAATATGAATATACATATTTAGTCATACAATAAGAATATCCATATAATATTAGTCCATAAGTAATTCCTAACAGTTACCATTCATTTACTCTCGCTCGGATACAACAGTTTGTATTTTTATTGACAACTATTAGATTCTTATATTTTTCCTGATGATAAATCTTCAATAAGTGTTATTCAGTGCCTGGGAGTTTGGATTTCATGAATATTTATTAGCACTGTGAGGCAAACTTGACTAACGGTTTATTTTCATTTGTCTGGTGTTTGGTCACTTCAATAAAGCGATTCAGATCGATTCAACGTTCTATGAAATAGAAAACTAACAAAACAGACTCCCATAAGTTATAATCACAGATAAATGACAAGTATGAACGTTACAAAATTCAAAGTTAAACAGATACAATTCACACAACGTCTGTCGATGATTCTAAAATACCTCAATAAGACATAATAAGAGCTAAAACACCTAAATGGACATTCAATGCAATCATATAGTTTCTTAATTTTCAGAAATCCGCTACTTTCTTATTATTTACTTAAAATGTCAAGACAGTCCTACTGTACGGAGCTGAAACGTGGAGAACTACTACATCAATCGTCAAGAAAGTACAAGTATTTATAAACAGTTGTTTACGCAAAATACTCAACGTTCACTGGCCAGATACTATCAGTAACAGCGTTTTATGGGAGAGGACAAACCAGCTTCCAGCTGAAGAGGAAATTAGGAAAAGACGTTGGAAGTGGATAGGATATTCACTAAGGAAATTACCAATGTGCATTACAAGGCAAGCCCTAACTTGGAATCCGGAAGGGAAGCGGAAAAGAGGAAGGTCAAAGAACACATTAGACCGGGAGATTGAAGAAGATACCCACGAGGGGTAACAGGCGTAAGTAAGTAAAACTATGTAATTAACATTTTTCAGAACTGAATACAATATTAGACAGTATCCATCAAATCATTTTTATTATTGGCCTTATACAAACATAACTGATTAAACTCCATTCAACATTAGGAAGTACCAGTCTGTATGATATTACTTATTCAATAAATAACCAATTAATGTAAACTTACTACTGTTATATGGATCTGTCTACTTTCCAAAATCAATGAATTAGTTAAAATACATGTACTAAATACTTGTTTACTAAAATCAACTATCAACTAATGAATATCTAGAATTTCCAACTAAGAAAGAATATTTTGTACATGGATATTAGATGGTTAATGTTAATCGATAAGAACGTCTAAATCTATCTTTCATACTAACTGTAATTTGATAATAGTATAATGGATTGGTAAGATTGAGGTAATTGGTGCTTCATATTTGAACTGGAACTCGTAGTGATATGTAGAGCCCATCAGAAGTCACTGGATGAAAAGGTTAGTCGATGACAATCAGAAGTGACCTAAAGGTCAAGTGCATTTTATTCGATAGCCCAATACAATTTCTCTCTCACTATTGTGTTCTCGCTCAAGTAGTCAGTTAGGGGGCTAGCACATAGCATACTATATATCAGTATCAGATTTCAGACACCGTACGTCACAATACATGACAAAGTCAGAGTAGTTATTAAATGAATAATTTAAAAATTTTCAATAGTTGATATCATGAGTCAATTGAAACTAGACCACCATCGAAAACCTGAAATCACTAAACGGCCATTTCGTCCTATTGTGGGACTTATGTCAGATAGTAACTCATTGAAGGCAATGGTGGATGTGTCGCTCAATTTCGTGAATCGGTTGAAGTTAGACATTAATACCATTGGATGCCGGCTCAGTGGTCTAGATGTTAGGTGCTCGCGCGCGAGACGGGATCGTTGATGCGCACTACTGAGGAGTTCCACATCAGGACGAAACGGCTGTCCAGTACTTTCAGGTTTTCCATGGTGGTTAAGCTTCAATTGATTCATGATCTCAACTATCGCAATTACTATAATATCCACAAAACCCCTTCTGATATTAATTTACAAATTTTGTTGACTGTAATATTTATCCTTAGACTAATTGATACTACTTATAATTTAATATTTTATATTAATTAAATCTGACCACTGTTATAAGGTTCATTAAGTTGGAATCTTTCATTTGATTGGTTAATTTATCAGTTTGTTTGCCTATATGTATCATTTTGCTTGACAACTATTTATAACCAGATTATATGTAACTACCATTTATATTAGCATTCGTTACATCAGTATAATTTAACATTATGACTGGATTAATTTTAATTTTCTCCTTGCTATTAATTCTGTCGTCAAATATAGAAGGTAAGTAAGTATATATTTGAATGTATATAACTTATGTTTTATTTTTTCCTTAATTTATTATACTACTTAGATTGTATATAAAAATAACTTTATGAATTTGATAGTTTAAAAGGTACAGAGTTATGTGGCGATTATAGAATCTTCATAGCTTTTAAAAAAAAACTAACTTCAACTAAAGCACTGAATAACCGATTCGTGTAGTATGAAACTCATCATAAGTACTCAGAAACGACCCAACTACAAGGAATACGATCTATGATCTCTCATCTTACGCTAACATATAATCTCTAGATCACTGAGATCACATCCAGTCGTATTATTGTCTAGCTTCAGTCAATTCATAAAATCTCACAACCCTCATTCATTGACTTCAGTGGATAACTGTCTCATACTCGACATAGTTGAACTCCACTGGTTGCAGTTTCTTCATAGGATTCAGGGAATTTCAGCTTAGAGCCAGTCACTAATGAGGATATTATTTTTATTATAATCAGTATAGGTTGTTATGGAAATTGCAGGTTTCTTATAGTCTTTATTATTGTAATAACATACTTATTTGTTTTCTGACGTCAGGAATTACTTAGAATTTCAACATGATTATGACTGCACATGTGTACTTCTACTCAGTGTGAAGTTCTGTTATTAGATCATTTGTTTCTAAAGGAATCATATGCATGAATGTATTATCTATTGAATTCGGATTCAATTCTAGTATCTTTACTAATAATCACGCATTGAGAATATTACAAATCTTTCTTCAACAACTTAGAATCATCTCTTCATCCATTATAGACGTAATACGAAATCCAGTAAACGAAATCTCATGTCGTCATTTAATTCACATTTGGATTAGACGAATGTAATTTTAGAAGTAAAAACTGTGAGACTATAATATATGGACGACCTTTGAGCGACGCCAAAGTGACCTTGAGAATGACCACCTACTTACTAGAGCTAAGTGAGGGTTACAAATCTGTGTGAGGAATTAAGATTATGGTTTACAATTGATGGTCAGTGTTAGGAATTAGAGTTACGGTTTTCATCACAACCTGACATCAGCTAAAATGCTAAAACATCATTTAGCCAAATAGGTGGATAAATTTCGCGCCGAAATCCAAGATATTTTATCCTAAATCCGATTGGTTCGTCTATAAATTATAATCTCGACCAATAGCAACAATAACGGGGCGGACTTGCATGCATATAGCAAACAATTCTCTTTGAACCTGCCCCCAAATGCCCTGGTACGGCCAAGAGTGGGGAGAGTCCACTCTCCCTCTCCAAATGCTCTCACATGGCCAGTGAATATATAGCCTCTGTCAGGGAAGTTTTACTCACTGCCTTTTCGTGGCATTACTGTTGTTTACGAAAGTGAGAGGACGAAAAGCGAATGTCCAGCGCTTTAACCGGGTTGGTGGACAAGGCGAGTCCACCTAGGGGAGTTGGAAAACCCTGATTCCAAACCAATGGTGCACATGGGCTCCAGTATCCTGATGGAACGAATGGCGTACGAATCAATCATTGATCACCGGCTACCATGGGACTGCATCTCCTCACGATGCTCCACTGTCTTGTGGATCAGATCTTTCGGTCAAAGGCTCCGGGTGTGGGCCCCTAAGAAAACCACCTGCTTCAGTCTGGGCACCTGGGCAGTATCACAGCCCTCAAGCAAATCGAATGAGATTTGTATGGCGCATATGTATCTGGTGCTTCCTTGTACCAATATTTACGTGTTTAAATAAAAAATAATTAATAAATCTCGACCAAGAAACCTTAAGGATCATATGAATTAACGTCATGGTTATAATTACCTTCGTTATTAATACGAAAAAAATGTTAATAAGTAAGGAAATGAGCAAACTAATATGAGTCCATCTTATTTCGTTAAGTCCTCGCTACTATTTTCTCTCTTTTTTTTCTAGTTCATTCATTTTAATTTTTAACTAACTAAGCTTTACTCAATTTATTTTTACTTAGCATCGACGTCTATTGATTATGTAACCAATTATTTCTAGTCCTTTAGATCTTTTCTATTATTGTCAGCATTATAGAAAGTTCTTCTTTATACAATGTAGTCTCTTAAAATGATTTAAATCTTTATTAAACCACACTAATGTGTACTCAAAACACCTTCCAAATAAAGTCTTTTGTGGAATTTTTAAACAATTAGTCCCTTTGATAAATTTTGATAATGCAATGAGAAGACGAAGTTTATCAGAACTATGTGATGATATATTAGCGCAATACATTTAGAACAATCTGATCACACATACAATATACTTGTTAAGAACATTTATCCATAAAAAATAAAAGGTCAACTAGACAAGTTAATGTAAGCCGTAACAAAGAAAGAAACTAAATAAAGTACACAAAAACAATGTCATGACCACTCTGGATAATAAATCAGCATTATCAGGGTAGGTTAAGGGTAAGAACGTCGTCTTCTTATTGCATTATCGAAAGTCTTTTGTATAGGTTTTTTTCAATATTCACTTTATAATTAGCATTTAGAAATTTTTCAGTTTGTAGTTAGTTGACATGGAACATGACGAAAGAAAATGAGTCTATTATATTCTACTTGAATCTTTATTTTTCCTCTTCTTAGCATATATAAATGATAGTTGAAAGCGTGAGTCAATTGAAGCTAGACTACCATCGAAAACCTGGAAACACTAGACGACCGTTTCGTCCCACTATGGGACTCCTCAGCAGTGCGCATCCACGAACCCGCTCCCGTAAGATTCGAACCCAGGACCTACCAGTCTCGAGCCGAAGCCCTTAACCGATAGACCACTAAGCTGGCATCCAACGGTGTTAATGTCTAACTTCAACTGATCCACGAAGTTGAGCAACCATTCACTCATTGTCTTCAATGAGTTCCTATCTCACAACAGACGTGGTTTTGAACTCCTCAACTTCAACTATGATAAATACTAAATCTCCACAAAACCCCTTCTATAATTAATATATAAATGATTTAATGAAATGATGATTATATGATTTTTGTAGAGAAGAAATATATTCCCTACTGTTTCTTTATTCTTTAGCTAATTCAATTTATCTAAGACTTTACAAATATTATCATTGCACTGATACAATATTAATCCAGGTCTTTACATCAATTTAGTCACTCAGTCATATTCAATAGTTTGTACACAAACACATTCAATCTTCATAGGTTATTAGGATAAGTAATAGATATTAAGGAAAGTTGTATACAATAGAAATTCCTGGATCTATCCAAAATGTACTCAAGTAGATAGGAATAGTTTAGTACATGAAGACAGTTAAAAGTGCGATCCACACATGTAAAGTTAATGTAATGTAGTTGTAATAAAGTGTTCGATTGGGTACAATGCACGTAATATTTCGCAAAAATATCACAGCTAGCTAACGTTGAACAAATAGTTTTATTCCGAATTAAATTTCGAAAATAAAAGGGAAAACTGAGGAAAAACGGATGTCAACATGGTGTAGGTAAAACTATGTTATTTACATTTTTAAGTCTGCCACATGGTTATGACTAAATAGGGAAAAAACTTCGATACTTCGACGTCCAAAAACCTCCAACCCGCTAATCAAAGACAGAAAACAGAAGAAACATGCACTAAAGTGTCGAAATGTACAGGAAAACATGTATATTTGTGGTTGTCGGTATAGACTGTAACATCATTATAATCCGGCCAGTCTGCAAGCAGGAATTTATACAACTGTCCCATCAGCATTCTAGAGAATATAGAAGTATGATTAGATGGAATCATATCAACCTCCTTAAAGCCTCTGGAGGATTTGTTTCACCTTCTGTGAGCCGTCCCAACAACACTTATAAACTCTGAAATGTACTTCTTTATTTAAAAGTCCAACACTTGAAATATCTGAAATTTTCACAGAAAATTTGATTTATGAAGATCACCTTCAGGCTACATTGTTGGGGATGTCAAATCCACAGAACTAACTTGGTAAATGGCTTAATCTTGTAGTTTTATTTTGAAAATTTGAATTTGGCTGTTTTCGCGCCAAAAGCGCTCTTTTTACCTTCACGTCATATTTCCCACCTGTAAACTATCTTAACCGCTATTGGTCCATTGTTTCATTGTGTGTGCTATTTACCAGTGATGCTCAAGGACAAATTGTTGTTGTATAAATGCGCTTGACTTTTTCCCTTATTTGATTGCTTGTACTCGGCTGCTTACGGAATACATATATATTCCCCTAGTTGCCTTGGACTTCTTCATCTAGTTAGCGGGGCCTGGGACAACCGATTAGAATAGCTTATCGTGTCATTGTGTCATTGGCTTTCGTTCGTTACCGCGGTAATCGATTTAGTTTCAGGCATAACATACATATTTTACAATTATTTGTTAAGCAGATGAAATAAGTGCTTACAAAGATAACGGAGTACAAAACAATATTGTATTCAGCAGTAACCAGATCATATCAGTCATTATTTTCGATCACTTTTCAACAGGACGGTATATTTGAATTTAACTCATTTTGTTTAGTACCAGAGTCAAGAACTGTGTGTCTCATATGTACTGATTCCCATTACTTTCATTTATCATAGTACTAAATAAACAGAGGTGGATGTTTGCTAGAAATGGAATTCAGAACGCGCATCTCATCCTATTTGGGCCCCGTCAGCTGAATCTATCTACATCCGAGTTAATATTCACCCCGGGACTCGAACCCGGTACCGTCCGCTTTAAACGCCACTGCGCTACCCACTTAGCTATCTGTCCTCTATCTCTGCTCATAATGCTTGTGACTTACGGCAAAGTCAAGGCGATTCGCGCCGGATTCACATATGTCAATGCGAGACTAATCAGTTGCAGTCCTAAAAGTCAATGAGAAGATTCAAACAACCAATACAAAAATGAATTCGTAATAAACGATTACTTAACTAACTCATTTTGTAGATGACTTTATGAATTCTGATCATGTCGTCATTATGCAAGAAAGAAAATAGTTAGCCTCACCAGTTCTACTTATTTACTTAAGATTCATTATTAATGGGAAAAGGAGGAGAAAGATAATATGTTGTCTATTTTTGTGAATTACTATCTAGGTTTGACTAATTCATGGTAAGTATGAATGTTCCCACATGAAATTGACATGGACTAGTTCAAATAATCGTTGAAAGCGTGAGTCAATTGATGACGCTTTCAACGATGATAAATACTAAATCTCCACAAAACCCCTTCTATAGTTCAAATAAGTTTCGGATGGAATATACTGAACAGTTATGTCAATTTTGTTTTTCAACAATGTTTTGCTGGTCCCGACCATCCTTCAAAATAAGACTAGGATTCAATTCCTAAACGGTCAGATACTAATATTGTGAGAAGCAAGAACTTTTATTTAGTTTCAAAATAAATGAGATGGAGTCCTCTCAATCCTAAGTACCTCTACTTCAGTGGATAAAACATCTTTTTTAATTGCAACATATTGGCGGTAGCTTCAATGATTGTGGTACTGAAATAATGTTGATTGAGTTTTTATCTCATTATTAGATAAACTAACAAATTTCTTGCAGTTTAAACCAACCATTTAGAAAAAAAGTTTGCACAAACAATGAATACAGAATACGATATTACCTACCAATTGTTTCCAGTCCTCTAATAGATTAATAACAACTCAAAGGACATAGTGAGTTTTTAAGACAACAATGTATACAATTTTCGTTGTATATGAGTTTTCCTGCTGAATAATAAACTGTTAGAACCTACTACACATCCAGAATTGGTGCCTGAACCTTCAATTGACTACATACAGAAAATAAGACAGGCACAAAAGATTACTAGAAAAAAGACCAACATAATCCACTAATCTTCTGTCTTCAAAGAACAGATTTAAATCTGAAATATCATTTATTATTTTATAACTTTGAATCATTTACATTCCTTTATATTTTGTATAGGTAAATGTAATGAAGAAGGTGAAGCATGTAGCAAAACATTGGGAACTCGTTGTTGTGGTGAATTATATTGTAAGCTATTCAAACCACTTAAAGGTAGATGTACCAATCCAAAACTTAGACATTCAACAACCTGGTAGACTACTATGTTTAACCTTTGCTAAAAATATCATTCATTTTGCCAATATGTTGAGCAATTAAATTTCGTTAAACAAGTAAAAAAACTCTGATTTCAATCAATATAAGACTTCTTTGTTCTAGTAACCTGTAAGATAGGATCTTAAGCAAAAGATTACTATTATCTGCTATAATATTACTAAATTCCATTAGTTAGTCTATATGATGTTATTAAAACTGCTTGGGAATTTAGATCAAACGATAAGTGATGTGTAAAATCCTGAAATCAATCCACGAGATATGTCTACAAAATACGGTACGATGATTAGTGACAACATAAATAACGGATCTTACAAACCTTGATTTGTAAGGTATAAGGGATGTTTACACACATCGAAGTATGATCAAAGAAGTATTTCCCGTAGTAGTTGTGTAAGAATAATTTACAAAGAAATACGATATGTTAAGTAAAAGCCAGTAGGTTTATTATTCAATATTTATCAGAGGGGGTTTTGTGGAGATTTCAGCATTTTTCAAAGTTGAAAGCATGAGTCAATTGAAGCTAGATTACCATCGAGGACCTGGAAGCACTGGACGGCCGTTTCGTCCTATCGTGGGACTCCTTAGCAGTGCGCATCCACGATCCCGCACCCTTGCGAGATTCGAACCCAGGACCAACAAACCTCGAGCCGGAGCCCTTAACCGATAGACCACCGAGCCGGCATCCAACGGATGTTAATGTCTAACTTCAACCAATATTGGCAACTAACAAACAGAAACAAAGACTATGTACAAAAATTGTGGAAACTGTTGCAAACAACCAAAGTCCTAATGAAAATATAAGAAACGAAGATAACTGCTCAAAATTTTAAGGGAATACAGTTGCAATAATAAATGGATTGAGTTTAAACACTGTTGACTTATGGCCCTGTCAAATATCACGTGACAAAATGGAAAATCATAAATTATACAATATCAGGCCAAAAGTGTTTGTGATTAGGAGAGAATGAATAACAGATTGCCAATAAATTAAGAATGTTAAGTCGTATAATAGTAGCCAATTGGCTAAATTAAAGCTTATGATAAAAGGAATATGAAAATATATGATGCAGTTGCCTAATAACCATACAATAGGGATACACGTACGTAACAACAATCCATAAATAATTCCTGGAAGTTGTTATTCATCTAATCTTAGGATATAACAAATACTTCGAATCACCACACAACAATCTATGCCCAGAAATGATTGAATAATTCACTAGTTACTGAATATTTGTAAGTAATATAATAAGTGAGACTATAATTTATGAGCAATACCTAAGGTACATCCAGCTGAGTCCCAAATAGGACGAAACGCGCGTCCTGGATTCCACTGCTAGCCACTATCCATCTTTGCTTATAATACCTAAGTGGTCTTGAAAAATTTCAATCACTAGAGTAAAAGTAGGGTCATCGATTAGCTTGAAGTATTAAGATCAGATAAAAGTTAGGGGTTAGGGTAAGAGTTTTCATCGAGGACTGATATGATCTATAATGTCGAAACTTTGTTAAGCCATGTTAAACCTGATTGGTTCATCCATAAACTATAGTCCTAATATATAATTAACAAACAAATGGGATAAAATAAGAGGAAGTGGTGAAAAGAGATGCAAACAGAATTTACATATATCTTCTTTTAAATATCGTTTTAATTCAGTAGCTAGCCATTATTGAGTATTTTCTATCCGAGTCATTTAAACTAATTAGGTAGCTAATTTTCGAGCGTTATCCTCAAGTTTTAAAAACTACACTCAAATATACCGAATAAGTTAGACTAATATAATAAAAAATCCACAAGATTATCATGTATGTTATCAAACCCTATGATCCTATCATCAGGTGGTGCTGGATAAGATCAATGAAAACACTCATTAGTTGTACTACATACTATAGACTGTCAACTCGATTGTGAGAAGAGGGCAATCGATTAAGAAAAATACAAATAACCATGTATCTTAAAAGGTTATTACTACTGAAATGGTTATATGTATTGTAGTTAAAATATATAGTATGGCGCAAAATAAACTAGTGTACTACATTCAAGGTCACACTGTAATTAAACCATTTATCTCTATTGATTCAGAAATACTTGAAAATGCGTGTCCATACAACTATTGATGAGTAATTACTCCTCCAAGTGTTAAAATTCAAACAATTCAATATAATCGAATCCTAAGTAAACAGTTACCTGTTCACTATCAGCTCTAATAGTTAACTTAATGTATTAAGTAACTATTAAGTATATTAGTGAGTGGTTTTATATGGCATATAACATTAATTCAAGCAAATCCTTGGAATTATTAAATAATTCCACCACTGTTGACCTAGCTTCTGTCAAATATTAAATCAAAGATGGACACATACGAAAAATTGTATTAATATAAATAAGCAAAACAAGGATGGAACTTACTTACTTACGCCTGTTACCCCTCATGGAGAAGCATAGGCCGCTCACCAGCATTCTCCATCTAAATCTGTCCTGGAAAATCCTTTCCAGTTCCTTCCATTTGCTATTCATCCTTTTCACGTCTGCTTCCAATTCCCGGTGTAGTGTGTTCTTCGGCCTTCTTGTTTTCCGTTTTCATTCAGGACTCCAAATTAGCGTTTGCTTCGTGATGCAGTTTGATGATTTCCTCAATTTGTGTCCTATCCACTTTCAACGACTTTTCCTGATTTCCTCCTCAGCTGAAAGCTGGTTTGTTCTCTTCCATTGTAGGTTGTTGCTGATGGTATTCAGTCAACGGACATTGAGTATCTTGCATACTCAGTTGTTTGGAAATACTTGGACATTTTTATTATGGTAGTGGTAGTTCTCCAGGTTCAAGCTCCGTACAGTAGGACTGTCTTGACATTCTTATTGAAGATTCTCACTTTGGTGTTGGTTGATAGCTGTTCTGAGTTCCATATATTCTTCAACAGTAGGGATTCTGTCCTTGCTTTGCCAATCCTTGCCTCTAAGTCTGCATCAGATCCTCCTTCACCAATGATGCTTCCCAGGTACGTGAATGTTACCACATTTTCCAGAGCTTTGACATCAAGTGTGATTGTGTTGGTGTTCTCTGACTTGTATTTGAGGATATTGCTCCGCCTGTAGCTCCTCTGGGGGTTGCTGCCGGTCCCAAGCCCGGGTAAAGGAGGAGGGTTGGGCATGCGATTAGCGACCCATCCCGTAGAAAATCAACTCGCTAAAAAAACACTAACCAAAAATGCCTTTACCTTGTCTGTGTTGAGGCCTACTGCCACAGAGGCTGCTGCTACACTAGTTTCCTTCATCTGCATTTGTTCGTGTGTACAGGATAGAAGGGCTAGGTCATCTGCGAAGCCCAAATCGTATAGTTGCATCCAAGCTATCCATTTTATACCGTGCTTCTTCTCAGATGTCGAAGTCCTCATAATCCAGTCAACCACCAGAAGAAAGAGGAAGGGGGAGAGTAGACAGCCTTGTCTGACCCCAGTCCTTACTTGGAATGCATCTGTCAGATGTCCAACATGAACCACTTTGCGCTGTAGTTCATCGTATGAGTTCTGGATAATATTGACAATCTTCTCAGGAACCCCATATTATCGGAGAAGTTTCCATAATGTCCTCCTATCCATACTGTCAAACGTCTTCTCATAGTCAAACAAGGTGATATATAGTGATGAGTTCCACTTAACTGATTGTTCGACGATGATCCGATATCCAGTGGCCGAGTGGATAACGCGATGGCGTTTGAAGCGAAAGGTACTGGGTTCGAGTCTCAGAGTGAACATCAACTCTCAGATGCAAGTACATCCAGCTGACGAGTCCCAGATAGGACGAAACGCGCGTCCTGGATTCCACTGCTAGCCACTATCCATCTTTGCTTACCATTTATACATCGGTTTAAATCACCACGACAAATGTCAGAGTAGCAAAATTATTAACAGCATCAACGGTAAGAGAAAATATTAGGCATAGAAAATATGACTCGAAAAAGAATGAGTTCGTGGGAAGAAAGTACAAGATTACTTCAAAACCCAAAATCCAAGGGAAGACAGAGAGTGAGTGAATCTGCTCCAACCACGGGTCAACATTATCATGAACTTCAACCAAGTAGTCAGGATTACCTACATGGTTTGACCCAATAATCCATGACTTTATGGACTGATGTCAAATCTTGGCCACCCCTAGATTTATTAAAACAACCCTACACCAGCAAACATGCCTTGAAGGTACACCTCGAAATCTATCTTCCAGAAAACTTGTTATCCAGATCAACCAGTGGTAATTACTTGGTTCGCTACACTAGGAACTTTAGACAATTCCCTACTAACTACTTAACTGGCTAAAATATTCAGCGCCGATTGGTATTTCACTTTGAAACAAGTATTTTAATTCACTAATAGCCTGTAGGATTAGTCGAGTTAAGAAAGAAGATGAATGCTCACTAATATTATTGAATGGCTAACATAGTTTATCAGAAATTGACGGAGAAAATATGAGGTGTCACATGTCTAACACATGTTATAGGCACCTTATTCAATCAAGGTTGACAGCACCCAACCGATATCACTTAATATCCTTAACGTGATCGCTGTGGTACTCACTCCATGCCATACAAATATTAATAACCCATGGATGCTTTCTGCCTTCATGTGTCATGTTTTGCTGTCATGAAGTATTTCAGGACAAACTCTAGTAATACAAGCATCCTGCACTAAAGATGATGTAATTTAGGAAGAAACCGAGTCCATTGTATGTATGAACAGGGTTGATAGGGCTTGCAAAATAGTTGAAGCAGTCAACATCCAGTAATCCACTCTATATGGTTGAATTAAACATTGATACATGCTAGTCCAGAAACAACAAACTGTAATTCAATGGATAGAAATGAAACTAAAGTATTCTCGCATTGTTACTTAAAGCGTCCCCAAAACTATGGATTGTCAAAGTCCTTGACAAATAGGATTACGTCAAGTGCAGATTCAAAGTCAATGAGTTTCCTAAAAGTAGATAACTCCCAGTAAAGTCAGACAGTGAGTTATATCCATGACAAAAAGTAGATAAAAATAAGGAGAGTTAACTACCCTGATAAATGCCAGAGCTCGATTATAGTTCGATAGTTCGAATTTTGTACTTGATTTTGTTTATCCGAACAAAAACGAAAACACCTTGATTTAAAGATACCCGTCGTTTGAATTCAATTACCTGATATAAGACACACATGATTGACAAACTTTCGACCTATTCGTTATTTGCAAAATATCGAAGTGTACAGATTTGTGCGTATAACCTTGGATGATCGTATATGAACATGTATAAACACACAAAACTAAATAGTCCAAATAAACCACAATCAGAAAATTATCCAGATTACAATATGTTAAACTAAGATAGAAACCCCGAAGCAGCTATGAAAATGAATTCTTTTATTTACAAGATATTTGTATTTATTTTTGTACAAAGTTAGTAATCAGATTTTAATTTTGCTTGAACAAGCGTAACAAGATGACGAGCAACTTCTGGATGCAATAAACGAGCAATGCGGTTACGAGATTTACTACCCGAAGGACCATTATTGATACTAGTTTCGAATTCCAGTTGATACTCATCATCATCATCGTCATTTTGTTGATCAGCTGACCAACTGGCTTCGCATGCAGTAAGAACACTTGTTTCCCATACTGGCATTCCATTATGTGTAAGAGCTAAAATGCAATTACGCACACGACAAACTGCAATGCGTTCAGCTAATAATTCCGATTCATTAGCTGTATTTAAATCTGCTTCAACTGGAGCCGATAAGCCAAGACCAATATCCATAGCTCTTGCTGGACCTGTCCAAATATATCCATTACAGCCAAGTATGAGGCCAACAGAAATAACTTCATTAGATATTGTTATAGGACCATCAAGTGTATCCATCCTTGGGATCGCTAGACGATGACGATGTATTTTTTGACGTTTAATAAGACTAGGAGGAATACGCAGAAGACAGCCACCTCCAAGTTTGCCTGTCCTGGTACCCGGCATATGAAGTTGTAATGTTCCATCTTTGTAAACTTCATGAACTTCAGCGACAATGAGGTCACCCTCCTGAAAAAACGCAAAGATGTATCGAAAAATATCAACGTAAAAGATCAATACTATGAATACACACTGATGAGTTAAAAAGTCGCTGAAACACAATGTCTATCAAAGACTTCAGTTATCCTATTTTCATATATATACATAAATATATATACTTTATTTTTCTATATCTATCTATCTATATCTATATATATACAGCAGTACTACTTCTAGTCAAATGTCTCTAGCTTCAAATAAACCATAAAATGTTTAAATCTCGAATCGAGACAATGTTAAACACTGCTAAACAAGCATGATGATTTGTGTTTGTATATTTGCTGAAAAAATAAATTTTTACGGGACTTACCATAAAGGGTACTTTCAAAGATAAGAAGGATTAATGGACTGTTATAAACACTGTAAAGACATACGTAGTATACCTAACAACATAATTTTAATAACAGATGCATTTTAAGTGATAAGGATACAAAAACAACTACTATTCAATCAGTCGTCATTGTAATTGTCGAATTTAAAGTACCAGCCTTTATCAAGCATAATTTAGGTTAATAAGCAAAATGCCTAAGCTAGAAAATTGCTAAAATTTCTAGGAGAGACTGACACATTTTAGAACCGAAGTTCCAGTGGTCATCTTCATACCAATAGACTCCAGGTTCATTATCTTCATAGACAAAAATAGTCGAACCGATGGGATAAAATTACAAGTCATGAAGATTCAAATGAAACTAATGGTCAATTTATTTACCAGCAAAACTTCCCCATACTCAACAATTATAAGGTAAGCCCATACCTTCATGAAAGAACGCATAGCCCGTTCATCATCTTCAGATTTCCGACGAAGTTCACCACCAGGTAGTTTCACATTAGCCAAGGCTAGATTGGCTAGGAGAGCAGAGTTGACATCAACACGCCAGCGACGCTGTTCAACCTTAAATAACCAAGTGAGGGAAAACGGTATATACTTTGTGTTCACATGACGTTATACTCATATGTACATTAAAAATCCTGCAAAATAGTAATTATCCATGACGATAACACCCATCACATAGACAGCAATCTCATAACTAATGAACTATATACGAGAATATGGAATCAATCAGAATTATCACACTAAAGCTAACTTACAGAAACTTAAAAAGTAGATAACTTAATAGTATTGTTAGACAAGCAACATTCGATGAATACGCCCCGAAAATTTATTTACCTACAGTCTATTACTTTCCAGTAGAATTTGTGAAACATTTACTCACGCCTTGCTGTACTGTACACTTTAAATTTGTTTTTTATGCACTTCTTTTTTACCTTCACTGTTTCAAGTTTTAACTACTCGTGTTTCTATGCTACTGATTCCTTCTAGTACTTTTTTTCTACCATGTCAGTAGTATTTGTATTTGAAAACAAGCTGTTTACAAGTAGGGCTATAGGAAAAAACTTACTGGTATCACAGGATTATGTTGAGCTAACACTAGCATGAAGATGCCAGAGGATCACTTGTAGTTTTTACTAGCTTAGAAGCTTTGAGTTAAACTTAATCATGGAACTTGACATTCATCAGACATAATGTTTATTTCTAGCCTATGAGTAGAAATATAGATATTTTTAAATGTTAAGTGGTACTAAGTGACTGGCTCTGACTTATGTAAATAGAGGATTTGAAATATATTTCACGAGACAAGGTAGAATTTAATAATGTGGGCAAAGTACCTTAGAACCAACAACTCAATTACTCAATGATGGATAGTCAGAACAATGAAACTACTTGATTTCCCCTAGTTGATTAATATTAACATTAGGTGGTACGTGACAAAGATATATTTGTGGATCACTTCAGTAGTCATGAAACTAACCTCTACAATGCGACCCACTACAGTATCTCCAACATTGCCGAAGTACCGAGCCTTGGGTGGCTCTACATATACGAGTTTATTGACTATCCTAACACGCCCAGTTAGAGAAGTGTGTATATTGCCTGCCTGTATCCCTGGATCTCCATTAACAGATGCCAAAGTGTCTGGATTAACTGCGGAAGATAAATCCTCATCAATGTTCGTAGATGAAACATCTACACTCCTATAGGTTCCATGGCCAGTTATAAGACTTGCAACAGAAGAAAAAACTATTTCTCCAGGAACAACGGCAGAGCCTTGCTGAATGCTTGGACCCTCTGGCTGACCCTGAGAAACATAATCAACAGAATGCCTTTCAGGGGCAGCAATAGCAGGATACATGTAGATCGACATCTCTTGGAGGTAAGCTTTTGATTCAGACTATGAGTGAAGTGACTTATAATTTTAGTGCATGTAGCGTACAAACATCTTCTTGCCTCTGCTACATGACCTTGAAACTTTCAGTCCTCAGTAATAAGGATAAGAGGTTCAAATGGTTCAAATGGTTCAAATGGTTGAGGACGGAATAGAAGAAGCTTTCGCTTAACGGGCTTCCGTGTCTGGTAGCAGTGGATCACCAATACCTCCAGGCAAAAACCTAGGTATATGAACGATAATAGAGGGAAAAAAAGAATTTGGTAAATCATAATAATATGTTATCCTTAGTCCTTAAGAATAAGTCAAGTTTTCTCTTAAAGGACTCCTGGGAGGTCGCTTGGACTAGCTCAGTCGGCAGCGAATTCCAGCACTTGACAACTCTAACGGAGTAGAAGTTGTGTCTGCAGCCTGTTCTGCTATGTAGGGTCTCCAATTTCTGGGTGTTACCTCTGAGATTAGTGTTATGACTAAGCTTAAGAAGTTGTTTAAGGGGATGACCAGAAGTATTAAGGATACTATAAGTCATAAGAAGATCACCTCTAAGACGCCTATACTCTAACGGGTAAAGGTTAAGTGATTTGAGGCGCTCTTCATAAGGTTTGAATTTGAGACCCCGAACTGATTTCGTGGCTCGACGTTGTATACGTTCCAGAGTGACCTTATCCTTTTGGAGGGAGGGAGGAAATACTATGTTTCCGTACTCTAAGTGGGGACGAATAAAACTGTTGAAGATTATATGGAAGGTTCTACCGTCAAACTGGCCAAAAATGCGCTTCAATGTTACCAGTGCAAGGTTTGCTTGAGAGGCGTTTTTGTCACAGTTCGCATACGATTTCAGGTCGTAGGGTACCAACACTCCTAAATCTTTTTCAACTTGGGAAACTTCTAGAGGTGAGTTACCTAAGTTATAACTATATTCTGCAACATGTCTCAGATGGACTACCTTGCACTTTGAAGTGTTGAAGGTAAGTCCGTTGTCGTCTGCCCAACTTTGAAGTCGAGTCAGATCCTACGTACGTATCTCTCTCCAAAGTTTCACATCATCAACAAAAAGCAATAAATCAGATGAAACTTGTTGAGGAAGATCGTTAATATAAATCAAGAAGAGAAGAGGTCCTAGTATTGAACCCTGGGGGACCCCACTAGGACATTCCATAGCCTGAGAGAGAGTGAAGTTAACCCTGACCTTAAAATGTCGGTTTTCTAGGTATGAAGTGATCCAGTCAATTAAAGGGGGTTTTATACCCAATCGTCCAAGCTTCTTGATAAGACATGCATGGTTGACCCTATCAAAAGCTTTTGAGAAGTCCAGGTAAATGACGTCAACCTTCCCCTTGCGATCAAGGATGGTTGTCCATCTATCCACCGCAGTCAGCAGGTTGGTAGTACAAGAATGACCTTTTCTGAAACCATGCTGTTGAGGCGAGAAGAACTTTAAGGATGATAAGTGATCAAGTATGCCGTCGAATACTAGGGATTCCATAATTTTTGAAGGTATGGAGAGAAGGGCCACTGGTCGGTAGCTTGAGGGTTCACTGCGTCGACCTCCTTTGAAAATTGGTGTGATGTGGGCCAGCTTCCATATTTCCGGTAGTTTTCCTCTGCTTAGCGAGTGTGCAAACATCACGCTAAGTGGTGTCGCCAGGATTGAAGCTGCTTCCCTCAGTACCTATATTAATCCTTGTAGTTTGTTACACTGTGGAGGTCCAATCTCGTTTTAGATATATCAAAAGAAGATGCTGATATTACGTGTTCTGATAGAGAATTCGAGTAATTCACTACTCAGTGCGAGAAACGAAACTCCAGACATAGACGATTTGATCTCAGTTTTTGAACTTTATTCGAATGTCTTCTCAAATGATCAGTCCTAGACGGAAGGAAGAGAATACATATTGGTACCAAGGTCATCGTTCAGGATACGATAAGCCAATATTAGATCCCCCCATATTCTACGATAAGCTAACGGAAATAAGTTGAGGTGTCTGTCAGACGAGATACACCTTCTACCAATTTAGTCCCTCGACGTTTGACTCGTTCCAGCATATCCGCCTCACATTTGAAACAAGGACTAGATGCTTGAATCCCATATTCCAAATGTGGTCTCATGTAAGTCGGGTATAATAATCTAAACATTTCCTCATCCAATTACTGGAAAGATCTACGAATAGACCATAATACCCTATAGCCTTTTATAGCAACAGCCTTACAGTGACTGGTTGTTTTTAGATCACTGCTTAGTATGACTCCTAAATCTTTATAGTTTCTTGCTTTGGATAACACGAATCCATATATTGTGTAGTAGTACGAATCATCGTAGTTATTTAATTGCATCACCACACTCTTGTTAGGATTCACTTCTAGTGACTACCCATCCATTCATGCCACTAATGAGTTGAGATCATCCTGTAATACTATTCTATCCAACATTCTGTATATGTTAGATCTATTTTGGAAATGAAAATTCCTCCGTGCATGCATTTGTGATTTCTTCCTTACGTTTTCTTTATTTGTATATATTGTTAACTTCTTCATGCTAATTAAGACTGTAACGTTTAATTTCCTTGGTTCTACTATCGTTTTTATTGAGTCTCTATGTTCCTTACTGAACTGTATTTAGTTTGTTTTAATTGCTATTATTCTGGTGGTTGCCATATTGACTGCTCACTCTTTGATTGTGCAGTTGGATTTCGACTGGGATCATGCATTTTTGGTTGTAATTTGGAGCACTTTCCCAGAAATTGAAACACTTTGTGTTACAGAACAGCCGCTCAAACGGAATCTTACTTGATCTATCCAGAAAGGATAGAATAACACTCACCTTTTGGTGTTTTCGGTAATTTTCATATATTTCTTACCACTTTGCTATTCATCTTAATTTAGATTGGATATTTTTGTAACAATTGTTGGTTGAATAACTGGGTGGTAATATTTGTTTATGTAAATTTGTACATTTGTATATATGATGAAATTTAGAACCGTTATGACCCCCAAAGCACCTTGTTCTGATTTTGACTGGGGTACGCGTCTCTAATTTTACTCATCGGTTATTCAACAAATCAAACCTAGTTGGAAACTAGGTTTGGATCTTACAGTATATAGGTCCCAAATCTTTATGTCATCGGCGAAGAGTAGGACGGGTGACTTAGCTACAGTTGATAATTCATTTGCATAAGGTAAAAGGAGAAGAGGACCGAGGTTTGTGTCCTGGAGAACTTTACTTTTAACAGGTTCTCACGATGAGAGAGCTCCGTTTACTCTTACCCTTTGTCTCCTGTCATGTAGAAAGTCACTTATCCAGTCTATGACTGCATACTGAATTCCAAAACTTTCCAGTTTTAATTCAAGACCAGAATGGGAGACTTTATCAAAGGCTCTACTTAGGTCCGTGAAAATCACATCTACAGGAATATTTTGATCTTTCGCCTCAGCCTGATCTTCTCTTGCAATGAGAAGATTTGTCAAACATGGTAGGCCTTTCCTAAAACCATGTTTTTCCTTGGATAAAGTATAAAGTCCTTCCGCATATTTTATAACAGCCATCCGAATAATTTTTTCCATCAGTTTTACAACTGCACTAGTAAAGCTAACCGATCGATAGTTACTAACTAAATCTCTACTCCCAGCCTCATGCGCCGGACTATCTATAGCGTCTTTCCAGTCTCTGGGTAATCTGGACTGCCTCAGGGACATATCAAACAGTATCGCTAAAGGGTCAGCAATTACATCTGATAGGACTTTCATAATCCTAGGACGAATATCATCAGGGCCACTTGATTTATCAGGTTTGAGATGCCGAAGTAGTCTTAGGACAGTATCTTTCTCAATAACTACAGGGTCCATCAACAAGCCGCCACAATCACACTGAATATTTGGTCCTTCTTCATTACTGATAGAAAACACTTTGCTGAAATATTCCGATAAAGCTTAAGCTTTTTCGATATCAGTTCTTGCCAATATTAACGGATTTTCTTGTACCAAATTTGATGGGATTCTATCACTCAGTTCAGTTAAGCCTCGATCAACTGATGTTTTAGTCCAACCTGACTTACGATATGATACACACGTCTTTACGCGTTGTGAATCACTTTGACGACCTCTCGAAACAGCATACGAAAGATCCTTCAAAGTTCTCCAGTACTAACCTAAGTACTATATAGTCGAAAAGAACGGAATTAACGATAGCATCAGCATCGAACGAGTTAAAGCAGAGTATTTAGAAGGAAATCCTATTCACGTCGATTTTCCTTCTGTACAGTCGAAAGACACAAGTCCTACATTTTCGACACCCCGTCCGATAGCCAACAACTACGATGACACTTTGGCGATATCTGACAACAGGCTCAAAACAACACGTTCTGGAAAAACAGTAAGGTTTACAGAACACCCAAGCAAGTACTGCACATAAGACGCTATATAAAACTTAGTTTCGTCTCGATTTTCCTTTGCACCATGTCAAAAAACAAATTATTTCCATATGTTTATATATATGCCAAAAAAAGAAATTTTTGTCCGCTAATATGCTCGCTTATATATGCATATCTATATTTTCCTTTTCAAAAAACTTCAAAAGCCATTCTGTATAATTCGCTTTTACGCCATTTCGTGTTTACGAAGTGCATGTATATTAGTTTATTTTTTTCTCTCGCATGCTTCAAGTCTTCACGCACGTACGAGTGTAATTCGACATACACTTATATGTACTTTCTTCAAACTTTCCAGGATGGCTGGAAAAGACGAGAAAACGACGAAGTTTACAATGAATCGAAATTTGCATTGGACATTGCTCCTTCATTACTATATTTTACAATATAGCCCCATATAGTAAGGAAAGACGACCAGACGCTGCCAAAGATAGCAAGCTATCGGATGAATGTTTGCCAACGATAAACTCGTTGCGTTTAAAATTCGGGCATGACACGTCTTAGGATCACCACTATCCTACTACGGGGTAGTCTGTAGCGGTTAATAAATCACCAAAATCAATAGCCCTGTAAATTTTTGACAATGCTGCTGACCACATTAGTTTTAATTGACTCACCTAGCTGAAGCCTCTCGGTCATGCACGAGTGGAAACTGTTATATCCTAGTGATAATGGAAGTACGGGTAACTTCTGGGACCTGTTAATGGACGACTATTCTGTATATATTCTTATTATAAAACTACTCAGTGACCAGGTTTATTCTATACATATTCATCTTATTATAAGCTTCATTTTGATCTGTGATTTATTATTATATGAATTACTGTTCCTAAATTATATTCATTTTATTGATCATTGTATCCCACGTTCACAGCTACATTTGTCTTGATCTTGCACAAATATTATTTTCTATTTTATGGTGTCTTGCGGTCTGTCTGTCTGGTATATAAACCGAGTATGTTTGAAATAAATGGTTCGCATAGCAGAAGCTGTAATTGGTGTTCTAGACTAAATTTGAAGGGCTAGGCTGACAAGGGACCAATAAGGACGCTAGACTGCTCATACCAGTTGAACGTCATTGATTTGGCATAGTCCTAAGGTTAGACAAGTTGTATTCGGACTGGCGGATAACTTTCGTGATAAACGCCGGACATAGATCATAACGAAGTGGCAACGGTCTTCTTTTTTAAATTCATAATAGAAACGCTGTGTTCAACTTCTCCTGCGATCACTAGCCAATTTAGACCAGTCACTACTCGATATATCGACAGCTTACCAAATACATCTTCGAACCTCTTTGTTTCTGACTTCTGATTTCACTGGGTGGTACGTTTCGATTATAGAAGGTGTTACTGGTCAAGGTGTTGTCAAACACCGAATAATTGAGGCATCTTCAAATTGAAAAGGATGCGTAGCACTGTATGCTCACTTCTGATCTGGTGCGGATGCGTGATCGAGCATCCCCACATAGGTGGGTTCAGTAAAACTAATACGGCCATCATCAAATGCCGAAGACTTTCAGAAATATTTATTTTGGTGTTTTATTTACCGTTACAAAGCCAAGTGACCTATGTTAATCCTTATGATTTGTTGTGCTGAGAAGATCCAATCTTGCCCTGGGTATATCAAATAAGAGTTTTGATACTGCATGTTCTGGCAAAGCATTTTAAAAATTTGCATTTGATAAGAGAAACGAAACTATGGTTTTCGAATATCTAACAATCCCCTTCCGGACGATCAGTCCTAAGCGTAGAAAGACAGATATATATTGAAACCAAACCCACTGTTAACTAAACGATAAACAAATTGTAACAACTTGTGTTGAATTTCTAAGAGTTGATCAAAAAGATCTAAGAAAACATTAGAACATCAAAGCCCAATTATTCATTCACTCCTTTATCTTGTATAGGGATTACATTTCCTATTATTTTACAGTGAACGTTGAAAAGCTATGTGTTTGTAGAAAGTAACCTCGCGCTCCACTATTCGCTATCCCACGATATAAATAAAGGCCTTTGTGCTGCTAGTCTAGTTCTTCTACGAGAAGAACGAGGGATATCCAATGGCACGAAGAAGCATTACATTACCTCACAACCCACAGTAAGATGGAGGAAACAACTTGAGAAGTCTACTTTCATGAGAAAGTTCAGTAAAACATTGTGTCGATTGAGTCCTCCGCCTCTGCACTATTAATTAAATAGTCGGCAGTCAGTAACATGTCTGTGCCATGATTTGGCAGAGACTCTATGATATTTTACCGACTCTAAACTAAAACCATCCGAAATTTTATCAAAGCATTTACAGTAGTCATGTAAATCATCTTACCAACAGACTTGTAATAACTTGTCCATTCACACTCTCATTTCTGATCATCATTTTTTTCAACACAGCCAGAACATTAGGATGATCCTGTAGTCTTGTGTTATTAGTCAAAATATGTGCGAGTGTGCACATTTAGATGTCATCCGTAGGCAAACGAATGGGGCGATCTTTTCATTCCTCGTAGAACAGCCACGCTCAGCAGGAAAGGAGGAAGAATCAATCAATAACGCCTAAGTTGAACGCCTTAAAACCAATTAATATTATTGCCTTCCTTATTTTACTATCAATCGTAAAACTGCATCGGTTTCATAGGTAAACGCTTACAACCATCTCAACGATCCATGATGTTATGCTCATTCACCTTACGGACAGACATGTGTTCATTGTTACCTTAGCAATTGACTGTATCATTTTATGTTTTCGTGCTAAAGCAGTAATTTAAGTACTGGAAACAAATTATTTTGGTTAGGTATATCTATATTTACGTTTCTAAACTGTAGTTCCGCTGAGAGTTTTACGACAGTATGTGCATATTTTGACACAGAAGCGAGTCTGCCAGATACAGTACAACGGTAACAAAAGAGGCTAAAGTAAAATGAGGAGTTACGACAACAGATTAATCATTAACCCTTCAGCCTAAGATTTTTCAGGCCCGTCATTACAACGAACATATTTTGGTCACAAGATTAACTATTTTGGCAACCCATTATGCCCCAACAATTAGTCGGAAAGTAAACGAAATACGAATTCTTTTACCAGCCCCATTTTGCCAATTAATTTCTTTTTGGAAAACGTTTATGAATGAAACGTAACATTTTCCTGAGTAGCCACTGCAATTAATTCATTATTTCAAATGGTTCAAATGGTTGAGGACGGAATAGAAGAAACTTTCGCTTAACGGGCTTCCGTATCTGGTAGCAGTGGATCACCAATACCTCCAGGCAAAAACCTAGGTATATGAACGATAATAGAGGGAAAAAAGAATTTGGTAAATCATAATAATATGTTATCCTTAGTCCTTAAGAATAAGTCAAGTTTTCTCTTAAAGGACTCCTGGGAGGTCGCTTGGACTAGCTCAGTCGTGACTTCACTTGCGTTTCATGAGACTTGTTACATAATAATACATATCTTGGTGGTAGAACTGATTGTCTCTAGACGGTTAATTTACAGAAATATCGAAAAATAATCTGCTTCGTTTTCGACGTATGTGCTTGTTTTAGTTCAGTCTAGGTCACGCGCCAATTGTGTGGCGGTCATATCTGTTGCGAAAGTACTGTTAGTGGTTTATGGAAACTTCGTTACATAACAGTACCGATTACTTGTTGAAAGTAAATCTCGCTCAGATATATATTCACGTCTTGCATCTCGGGCCTCTCCGTGAGTATAATTCTATATTGACTGATATAATCATGTTACTCTTTCCAAGCTTAACAGCTGCTAATTTTTTGTTTGGTGCGAAAGCGAGACATTTTATTAAGCAAAAACTTCATCACATAAATGGTTATTTATGTGTGCGTCTGATTAAGAGGTATGAACAACGTAGTGTGGTCATACTGTCGTACTGTTGCTTATACCCTTTTTTGATTCTCATGTTTATTCTTCATTACGAGATTCCTCTTCTCACTTCTTGAAGGTAAGTTCGCTTAGCGCTTTGGATACTGCTGACCAGGGCGTTCCTAACGATGGTGGTTTAGCTGTCAGTTGGAATTCTGCAATATTGTGCAAGAATCATTTGTATCTTGCTAACTTTTGTCACTGGCATTAGTAGTTACGTTACAATCTGTCCGTCAAATGATAAAAATACACTCAAGTAGTTATTATGTTTTTGAGGTACCACACAAACGCAAACCAACTAGTAAAGTAATTCAACATTTTTTTAAAATTTATTATTTTCACATTCAGAACCTAGATTGTTTTTAAACTTTCCAGTTTTCAGGCTATTTTTGATTGCTAGAAGTTGTATAAAAACACGATAATGCTGCTGCTCTGGTCTTGACCCTAACCTTCCAAAATATGAATAGTGTCGACAGTTCAACAATCCACTATCAATGTTAAAATGTGGCGATTTTTACTGGTTTTTATTTCATATTTTACGTGTTACTGGCCTCCAATACGAATATTTATTAGAATTATTTGCCTCTTTTACAGATTCTGCTGGACGAGTGAATTACCGTCACTTTCTGCTCTCCCACTCTGTGTCCCTGAATAGTATTGTCAGTAAAGAACAGCGTAAATCATTCCATTAAATATAACAATTTCTCAGTAAACGGAGCAGAGATTCAAAGATGGATTTCAGTGAACTTAATGAATAAGTATGCTTACTCCTCCAAAGAATGAATGAGTCGTCAAATCGTAACTCCCTAGTTGGTAGAAATACTGGATTGAATTCCAACGCCATGCGCGACAGTTTGCGTGTACTTGGCTCTTCGTGTGCTGTAACCACAACTACTAACGTTCTTGAAAATCGGTTAAATTATCCACCGAATACTTCAAATCACGGGTTTTTATACTCCGAAAATGGTTTCAATAAGCCCATCTCCACTTTTTCCAATTGCTCGGTTGATTCCTGTTTTCCTGGTCTCACTGTCTCAATGGAACAAAATTTGGTTACGGATTATTCTCAGTGCCATTCATGTGGTAGCTCTCCGCCACCTCCAGCATTATCTCCCGTTAGTTCCTCTCCTACTCATGGGAGCAACAACCAAAATAACCAACCATCCTCCCCTTCTCCTCCAATTATAGTTGCCGAAATTCGAGGTCCTTCATCCATTTCATCTCATTCAGCTTCTGAGAAAAGCTCTCATCCCAAGGGTGCATTTAAAGTGAATCAACATTCTTCTCAAACTCTTAGTAAACCACCGAATTCTAGTTGTCCACGGATAGCAAACGATATGTTAATGTCTAGTTCGAGTAGTTCATCTTCGTCTACATCTTCCTCCTCAATTTTGAATGACGCCAATCATGCTGCTAATGGTTTACCAATTCTCGAAAAAATTTCTATTGTTCTTGGTTCACCTAAACGATCAGTTGGTGAAAATTCAATAATTCGCGCAAACAACACTGATTCACCTTTAAAAAATGAAGATGCAAGACTTCCAAAGTTGGTTCTGGAGAATCATATCCATCCATCAAATAGTAAAGAAAACTCCCTAACGAAGCTTGATGAACCCCTCAAAGCTAACTCATCTGCTACAAATGAAGATGCTAAGTCGAATGTATTAAATGAGAAGTCTAAAGTAGCAACAAAACGAAAAGCATCAGCCCGGTCAAGACGTCGACCTAAATCTCGAAAAGTTCGAGGAGATTCTGATTCCGACTTCGAGCCATTTTCCCAGGCTCATGCAGGTGGATCTCGTGGTAGAGCCGATGCTAGAGCTCTTATTCGTCGAGTTCAACAAAAAGTCAATAAAAAGTGAGCTTTTTTACTCTTTTCAAACATATATGTGCATGGCTTTTTACATAAACATTCAATTCTATAATAATATATAGTATAATGTATTTACACAGCGCTAGTGATGGCTTCTATTCTGTCAAGTTTATCGTATAAGTTTGCCTTATCATTTTTGCTTACTATTCTTTTATGTTTAATACTTTGTAGCCCACCATAGGGGAAATGTAAAATAATTCAAACACTAATCTTAGAGTTTAAAGGTGAAGAATAAATGGACTTCATAAGATGACACAAACAATTTCAGACAGTACGTGATTAGAAATTTTCTTACTTCCATTACACCTACTTTATAAGGCTGATCTGTGATAGTGGAATGACTTCAGCATGTATTTAAGTTCTTCCAGGTTTTCTTTCATTCGTATGTTGCATTTCCTTAGTTTGAAGTTCATAGACATTCAATGTAATTAATGCCTTTATTTGTAAAGCAAGATCATCCAACATTCAGAAACATTTCGTTTTGTAATATCTTGAATTCATTCTCAATTCTTTTTAGATCTATTGCTGGTGTTACATCTGACACTCCTGGTGGAACCAATGCAGATATTGCAATGCGCAGGAAGTATTTAGAATCACCCTTTTTATGTCTTTGTCAAGCTGGAGGAACAGTTTCTAGTCTTATGAAAACTTCAGACAACTTCACTAAATACAATTGTATTCCTTCTGGATCTAAAATAGCCTGTAATAATTCAACAACTAATAATGAGTTGATTGATATGAGTTCGTCTTTATCTGCCCATATAATTAACCCAGCTTTACGTGATTTGTCTGTTCAACAAGTTAATGGGTACATCTCTCATTGTACCATGCCTGTTAGTTGTCCATTCAAAGCTAATGTGACTGGAAGTGCATCAATTAAAGTTGATAAACATGACGTCGGCATTGAATCTCGTAGTATCCTTGCAGGTAAGCATAAGTTTCATTTAGATAGTTTTCATAGCACTGTACGTAACTTGTTTACGTTACAACTTATGTCTGTATAATTTTTTTCATCTTAGGTGTTACATATAGACCTTCAGGACCTCTCCGGGTACGTGACTATCAGTTTCCAACCTCAGTAAATCCCAATAGTATTTGGATATGTGCCTTCTGTGGTGAAGATAACAATTATACCGAAATTGGTTGTTTATATGGTCCCTATTGGCTTACAGAAGCAGATATGAAGCAGTTACCTTCAGAGCTCATCTATGGTTCTACCAATGAATATCAATCTCCTGATACTGTGACTCAGTCTAATACACCTGTGACTCCTGTATCCAGACGTGCAAAAAGTATAGAAAAGGCTATTCGTTCTGGTGTAATTACTTCGACTACTACACGATCTGCAGCAGCCCAAGGACGTCCTACAGCTGCCAATACTGGTGTTCTTCGCCTAGTTATCAAAGCTTCAAATAGTATGATAAATAGTGATGACTCTCCGACAAAAAATTCACCCGATCTATCTAAGGTAAGAAACTCTTGCAGGCCTAGAGTAGGACCAAACGGTGAAGTCTGGTTTCATTTTGAATGTGTACTTTGGGCTCCTGGTACTTACGTGAATGGGAATGGTGTTGTTGGCGGTCTCGGTGATGCATTACAATTAGCCCTTAATGCAGTAAGTTTTATTTTTGCAACACTCAATGCAATCTCTTTGATCATATATGTCTAGAATACTTCTATGTGGCAGAATAAACATCTTTTTAAACGATGCATAAAATTATCAAATTTTATGAACTGTCCTTTTTACTTCTGATAAGTCTTTTGGTTGAACGCTACTTTGTTATACCTGGTCGTCGCTGATTATTATGTCGTAATCACTTATTACTTATACTTGTAAAAGCGAGGAAGCACCGCTATTCCCACGATACGAAAGCGAGAACACCAAGACTGGTACAAATGAAGATTTATTAGCCCCAAACACGAAGACAACTCTAGTCGAAAATGCACTCATTTCTATATTGATTGTACACCCATTTTGACTAATAATTAGGTTGAAATCACATATATGAAAAATACTTAGAGTTATAGCAAGTCACATACTACATGTCATGCTGAGCGTAGTTCATGTCAACTTTTAATACAAGAATATTGTATGTTATGCAGAATAAAATATCATACGGGAAAACAAAACAAATACTATACAGAGTAATCATCACGTTGACTTAAAACGGGAGTAATGTCGAACAAAAATCATAATGAGTAAAGGAGTGTAATTTTGACTTTTCATCCCGTTATATCAACATCCAATTGAAATTTCATTGTATTTTATTCAGTAGAACCGCTCTATATTTCTAACAAGAATAGTATTGATATCACGAAATATTGTGACTATCCACCTGTAGCTCTTCTGGAGTTACTGCTTGTTCCAAGCCCACACGTAGGAGGAGGGCTAGGCATGGGGTCGGCAACCCCATTCCATAGAAAAAAAATCTTGCCAAAAAAACGCCAACCAGACTAAACAAATTAAACCATTTAAACAGCCCTCCACATTGAAGGAAGAATTATGACTCCTCAGGGTGAAATCCGAGATTCCTCGGAAGTCACGAGGCCGATGCCCCTTCTAACAACGTTTGCTTGTATACATCGGTTCGAGCTGCCATAACTCATTAGCACAGCGACATGAACTTCTTAATGTAATTCCCAAAGTAGTAACAGTATTGGCGGTAATTGAAAAGTTTAGGCATCGAAGATACAGCTCCAGAACAAACTAACTCCGTTTAATTCTATCCTATAAAGTCAAGCTCTCTAATTCTGTTTAATTAATTTCATTTATTTTCAATTATTTAGCATTGTTCACATTGTCAAAGACCTGGAGCAATTCTAAGTTGTTGTAATCGAGGATGTAATTTGAGTTATCATTATCAATGCGCAAATAAAGCTGGTAAGAGAGTAAAGTTAGATGTTTAAACAAAATTCTAAGCAATAATAATTTCCGATAATTTTTTTAAACCCTATAATACAGTATGCTGGGTTTTCCAATTTTCTTTCAACCAGTTTTTTTAGAATAATAGGTTTGTTGCAATTTCATTGGAAATACTTTGTCTTTGATGAAAGTATCACTTTTAGTTTTCTTCTTTCCTAACCATACTTGTTTATTCATTGGTTCCACTCTACTGGCTACAAAATTAATTCCTTCTCTGAAAATATTGAAATGTCCAATCAGTAATATATTCCGTATTTCAAATGAATGAATGAATTAATAACTCTATGAAAAGAAATTCTACACCGAATTATTCCCTTACTAACACTCTTATCTTAATGTCAAGGCTATTTGGTTGAAATGGTAGCGAATCTTCACAGACTGAAGCGGTTGAGACATATATTTATGTATCCTCAACCAGCACTAACCTGGACGGACAATGTTTGCTGTAGGTACGATTAGGTTTAAAACAAACTAGAAGCGGCCAATCCAAGTCTTAATGCCTGTCAGTGAAGTCATTGACTGTTGATAGGTGTAAGATGCATTGTTGAAATTCACATGATTATCGTAACCAGTGATTGGAGATATTTGGATGACATAGCACTGATATATTCTCTCCTTGTTTTCCCTTTGACCTTCACTTTCAAAATTGTCGTTTTCTTCCTATCCCATAAATTCTTCCTTATCGAATCATGTTGTCTGTGGTTGGTATTTTCTACTGCACCTGATACTTTTACTATTTTTTATACTGTGTCATTTGGCTTGGTACTGTGCTGATATTGTTTGGCAACCGATGCTAATATGTCCCAGGTTTTACGTTCTTTGTGGCTGATTGACTGACCGACTAATCCATTTCATTGACCTATATTAGGTAAGTGATCAGCAGACATATCTTTACAGATAGAGTTTACACAATTAACAATGTTTCTAATAGTTCATAAATCCTCTAGTTCTAGCAGCGACATTTTCAGAGATTTCATCCCAACCTCCTTCGATTTACCAATCAATAATCTCTTTTCTAACTTGGTTTACACTAAGATTATCAGATTAAATCTCTATAAGGAGATAATTTATAAAATTCGCTTTTTTTAAAAATTTCATTTCGTCACTTTTTCTCATTCAACTCTAGTAGATATTACAGTATTTATTCAGACTATCAATAGACAGGAAAATGTATTTTATTTGTATCTATCTAATTCACCATATCTCACACCCATATATTTATTGATCATCATTATCTTTTGTTGTGGAATGGTAGTAACTTATTCCGAGAAGTTCGTTGTGTATTATATTCAAGAATATTGTTGGTATAAAATACACGACAGTAAAATAATACAATTCCACAACAACAACTACAAAACCTATATTCACTAACCTTTTTTATCGTTTATGTCCGTATGACATTTGTTATCTTAGTCACCAATTCAATCAATCGTATGATCTCAGTAATTGAAATATTCACATAAATTAGTTGTCTTCCGGAAATTTCTTCTTTGCATCTCCGTTGATCAGGTGCAATCCTGACAATAAAGTTAGCGTTATAACACTTGTATGAAGCATAATTTTGATATTGGATGTTTCAAGATAATCAATCAGAGGCCCTATCGAAATATATTATTATTATTTAAACACATGAATATTGGTACAAGGAAGCACCACATAAATACGCGCCTCACAAATCTCATTCGATTTGTGTGAGGGCTGTGATACTGCCCAGGTGCCCAGACTGAAGCAGGTGGTTTTCTTAGGGGCCCACACCCGGAGCCTTTGACCTAAAGGTCTAGTCCACAAGGCAGTGGAGCATCGTAAGGAGATGCAGTCCCATGGTAGCCGGTGACCAACGATTGATTCATACGCCATTTGTTCTCTCAGGATACTGGAGCCAGTCCATGTGCGCCATTGGTTTGGAATGAGGGTTTTCCAACTCCCCTAAGTGAACTTTCCGTGTGCACCAACCCTGCTGAAGCACCGGACATTCGCTTTTCGTCCTCTCACGTTTGTGAACAACACCCCATGTATGAGAAGGCAATGAGTAGGACTTCCCTGGCAGAGGCTATATATTCGCGTGGCCATATGAGAGCATTTCAAGAGGGAGAGCAGACTCTTCCCACTCTCGGCCGTACCAGGGCATTCGGAGACATCGAAATATATTAGTTTGTGTCGTTCAACAATCTAGTTGAATCGTGTACAATGCATCGAAATGTTGAATACTGAGTTTCCACTTAATATCAGAAAGCATGCGTTTTACTCATTCTTGAACTGTGGTTCATTATAATCCCGTAGATAGAAAATCTATCCTATATTCTCTCTCTTCAGTCAATTTTCTCTCTTAATAATTTTCTGTGTTTGTCAAAAAAAGATTGACCTATAGCCTTCTATTTACTTTTAGAATGTCATTTGGATCGAGATCAATACATTTTGCTGTGCAAAAAACACCATATCTATTCATAGTCAGTTAATCAATTGACACAACAACAGATACCGTATACACTTATTATAATGATTATGAAGTATTTGTTTTTATTACTGTCCTACATTTATATATCCTAACATATTTAGTTTTTTTTAAAAAAGAACCATTATTTTGTAAAGATATCCTGTATATGTATGTAAGTAAATAAGTATGTTTGCAGTTTTTTCTTCTTCAATCATTAGATCTAAAACATAGAAATAAGTGAACACTTTCTTTCCTATCACTTCACTTCCTATGAACAAACCACATTGTAGGAAGAAAGAACTAGTGATTGTACAGTTTTTTCCTTTTCTTCGTTTTCATCATACACGCTCTGTTGTTTGTTTGTTTGTTTTTAACTCGTACATGTACGTATTTATGCTCTTTACATTATTTTTTTCTTTTCCCTACTTTGACTCAAACGCAATCAGATAATAATGATAATGATCAAAAATTACAATCAAATCTACTTATCTATCTAATTTTATTCATGTATTTTATCAATGGATTTGTTTCTCTATGCATGTGTATCTATTTATGTATCAATTTATTTATGTATATGAATTTTTTGAAAGATCATGCCTTTTTATATTTATTCTTTTGAAAATGTGTATTTATGACTATGGGAACAAACGACAAATTGATGGAAGATGGTGAGGTTTGAAAACAATTGGTGAAGATGTTCACACCTAGTAGCTTTTGTGTACATGTGTGTATGTGAATATGCCAAGTGTTACTATCCCTCTGGATTTATTTTCCTCTCATTTTGATCTATAAATAAAACACCAAAATAAATTGGACACTAATTATAATGTGTACGTGTTCTCAAATGCTGAGAGAATCAATTCTACTTAGAGTTGTATATTCTGATGATTTCCAGTTGGTTTTTCTAGATTACTACTATTCTTCTATATCTTATCTGTTGGTTTTCTTTTCAAAGTAGCATCCACTTGTATATGAAAGGTGTTTATTAGTTTTTTTCATTCTAGTTTATTGTTTTTACCATAATTGTGCTTCTCTTATTGTGTGTTCTTAATAAAATTACTTCTAACCGTATATGTGTGTATAGGAGGTCATGATACTAATATATATATATATATATATATATATATATATATATATATATATATATATATATATATATATATATATATATATATATACTGTAGCAGTCTATCCGCCTATGGACTATGTGTGTCCAGTACCTGACCTTGTTATATGTTGTTTATTTGTAATCATGACCTTATTTTATAAAATGAAAATTTTACGTTTAGATATATTTGTGCACTAAGCGAATTATACCCAACTTCTACTTTAATGCGGTGAACGACACTGCTTCTATCATCTTGTTCTCTGGCGGCTAACTAGACTAAGAATTCCAAGTTTTTGTAGAAGATTTTTTGATAGAGACCCCAGGAAAATTAATTTACACCCTAGTTAATTCAATATGTATTGATCAAATCCTATGATTATTAATTACGAAGTTTATTAAACTCAGTAATCGTCACTGCATGAAATTACAATGGAAGTGTCTTGAAATCGACTAATTAGTGTCATACTTGATAAATCAATTCAAATAATAAAAAAATGTCGAGGATCAATCGTGTGTCAACAGTTACTAGCAGCGATTGTGGTCGATTACATTTATTTGGTCACACCCCCTCCAAGACAAACTCCTGGAGTATATCCGGCTGTAAACTCTATCATTTTTGATGTGTCCTATTCGTTTAATAATCTTTATTTTGTTTGGAAAATAATTTATGTGGTTGTATTAAATGAATAGGATTGTTCAAACAAATAAGATTTAGTCTTTATAAAATGTATGGATCAATACCATCAGATTCAAATCTCTCAAAGAATCTAAGAAGTGAAATTAACGTCAACACTGATTAACTGTGTATATAGTCATGATTTTCTGTGAGACTAAATGAATAAGTTGTTCTCATGTTATCAGTCGTAATCTCAATGAAATGAATTCTCTAACTGAAACTACATTTAAAACAGAAATGATCGAACTGATCAATACAATGATAACCGACAAATATAAATGAACAGTGCGAACATTAATTACTCCTTATATGCCATATCTCAGACGTGTTATGAGTAGACACCTTGCTTGTGGTATGCATACAGGTGAAAATAACTTAGAATATAGAAAGGATTGGTTGGGTGAGCTTTACTGATTTGTCTAACGATAGAAAAGAACCTATCCAAACAATTAACTAAACTAGTACATAAATCCGTAGGTCTCACTCGTCAGCTGCATGAAATGTTGGTATGATCAGTTCCAGTATTGTCCTAGAACACTTGTTTTGTGAACAAGTGAGACAGGGATGAAATAACTAGTTGCATTCTATAAATAGGATCAATAAGTAGGGAGCATATCGAAGATAAATAATGGTGTCCTTTAATTCTTAGTTTTGAGTCGCCTAATCAGGTGAGGACAATGGGATTAAATCATTTATGAATTTATCTTGCGTAGAAAGTAACTTTTATACACTATTGTTAGTGGGATATAGATTGGATTAGCATAAGCATGTTTTATGCATGATGGTGTTGCTGCGCGCTGATTGGTTAATTTTAAACCGATCAGCCCGGGCATATTATTGCAGAAAAATCTATAAGCTTCTTATGTATTTACTATAAATATATGAACATTATTTTAACTAATGATTGCTGTTCACTTATTATTATTATTTTGAATACAATTTCATTCCTGTTCAACGTGTTCTGATTTTGGGGTCTTGTCGAGTGTCATCGTATAAGAATACTAAGCAATAGGAATAGCTGGGTCGTTTATATAGCAAAATACAATTATAACAGTGGCGACGGGGAAAAAGGAAAATTCATTGAAAATGCCTATATCAGATGACCAGCTCAGCCGAATACTACAACAACAGCAAGCACAACTTGATGCACAAATGCGGTTGTTGGAGACTGATGCAACAGTTTAGCATCCAAAACTCGAGTCCACATGCTGTTTCAAGTACTTCTTGTGATGCAGTTGCTAGCAGCATCCCAGAATTCATATATGATCCAGAAAGTGGAAATACTTTTCTCACGTGGTCCAAACGTTGGGAAGATACATTTAGAATAGAATTCTGTCAACAAGATGACGCATGGAAGACTCGGTTGTTGATGCGTAAGTTGGGAAGCAATGAGCATGCACGTTATGCTGATCATATATTGCCAAAGTTACCTCGAGAGCTCAGTTTCGAGGAGACAGTAACGCAGTTGTCATAGATTTTCGGCGAATCTTCCTCATTGTTTAGTATTCGATATCAGTGTCTGAATTTGGTGAAACGAGAAACCGATGAATATGGTGCTCTAGCAGACGTCGTCAACAGAGAGTGTGAACGGTTCAAGTTACGCTCGTTGACAGAAGATCAATTTAAATGCCTAATATTCTTCAAAGCTCTGCAGTCACCACAAGATGCTGAAATTAGAACCAGACTTCTAACTCGTTTGGATTAAGACCCAAACGTCACACTCAAGACATTGACAGATGAGTGTAAACGACTACAAAACATCAGACACGACAATCAGATAATTGAACAGGTAAATCCTAATTTAACCTGCAGTAGTGTCAATGCTATTACTAGGTTAAAAGTTCAGAAATCGAAAACAAGTGGTAGCAAACCAACGACTGCATGTTGGTTATGTGGTGATTGGCATTACGTACGATTCTGCCCATTCAAGAAACATAAATGTCGGATGTGTAACAAACGTGGGCATAAAGAAAGTCATTGTCCTCCAAATCATACGTCCCAGCCTAAGCAGAAGCACAAACGTCCTCGACACATGAAGTCAGCCGAATCTAAATCACTTTCTCTGGTAGCAGCTTTTCAAACAGACTATGACCTTCCGAAAAAGTATGTTACTATCGAGATTAGCGGTTCGTCTCCAAATTGACACAGCATCCGATATCACCCTAGTGTCTAGAGAAACGTTTAACCTGCTTGGTAAACCGCCAATGAACCCATCCAAGAAGACGGCTAAAAACGTATCTGAAGATGTACTGAAACTAGTTGGTGAATTGCAATGTGAATTTTCCTTCAATGGAAATAGCTGTAAAGGAGTATGCTATCTAACAGAACGACCAAACCTTGATCTTCTTGGTCTAGATATGTTAGAAAAGCTTGGATTAATGTATATACCCATCAACAGCGTGTGTAACGTGTCGTGTCCATCATTAGACACCACTTCATATGCAAAAAAGACAGGTAAAAAGGTTCCAGAAATACGGAGTGTAGAAGCAGCGGCAATTCGAAACACTCCAGTGTCGTCATGTGAAATCAGAAAAGACTTTTCAGCGTTTTGTCAGCAGAACGGAATCAGGCACATCAGAAAACCTCCATTCCATCCGCAATCGAATGGCCAGGTAGAACGTTTTGTTGGTACGTTCAAAAATGCTCTAAAAAAATCAAGAGGGGAGGGGGACACCGAAGAGATCTTAGAGAGGTTCTTGTTTATACACTGAACCCTCAGACAACAAATGGAGTCTCCCCTGCGGAAGCGTTACTTGGCAGAAAAATACGTACACATTTTGACACCATTCGTCCGACTCCAGCTCTTAAGCCGCAACGAGATGTGATGATGGAGAAACAGTACAATAGTCATCATGGGGCACAAAAACGATTGTTCAGTGTGCGTCAAAAGGTACTTGCTATGGACTATCGAGGAAAACATCCTACATGGATAGATGGTCGGATCGTGCAAAAGAAAGGAAATGTGGTTTACAGGGTGTCCGTTGGTTCAGAAATCTGGGTGTGTCATGCTAACCAACTGAAATCAACCTCGATTTCCAACAACGAAACGCAGCATAGATTACCTCTCGATGTTATGAGCATCTCGGAGTACAGAGAAGTTCAATGATGAGGAGCTTAAGACACCATAAATTAACCTTCAGAGGTATCCGACCTCTGAATCAATCAAGATTATGAATTAGCAAGGTAATGCATAAGAGGCCTCCAAACCGCACAATATAATTTCTCTTCATTGCAAATAAATTTTGAAAGAGAAAAAGAAAGAAAGGGACATTAAGAATTCAGAAGATTACATTTTGGGAGAACACAAAGAGTGGATGCACCTTCGTCATTGCAAACGATTTTGAGCCATGTCATTCAAGGTCTCTAACCATCGTTTGCTGTGATCTCGCGTATCCCAACCAGGTAGTCTACACCTACCGACATGGCTCAGTCCACTTGTCAGTGACTTCATGGACTTGTGCCACCTTTTGGTCTGGCTGTCCTTAGCTTTCTTCCAACCTACTCCTACACCATGAAACATTTCATATCGGGGCAGTCTGTGGATGGACATATGTAACACATGTCTCAGCCATCCCAACTGATGAAGTTTCACTACTTCATCAATCGATTTGCCATCCTTACCTAGTACCCGTTTCTTAACAACTGCATTACTTACCCGGTGGTCACAGGATATACGAGAAATGCTTCCAAGACACCTATGATCGAATACTAGTAGCTTACAAATATCCTCTACTCTTATCGGCCATGTTTCGCTGCCATAAAGTAGGACGGACCGAACTGCTGCGCAGTAAACCCGTCCTTTGGTTGCTAGACGGATATCTCACCTATGCCATAAATGACGCAAGTTTGCAAAAGATAGACGAGCCTTCTGTATCTGTGCTGAGATTTAGTCACACACCAGAACACAAGAGCTGATGTGACTCCCTAGATAACTGAAGCGGTCGACACTCTCAATTCCTCCACCTCCCATAATTAGTTTGGGTGTCGATGCAGTTTAATCCTGAAGCAACATTATGCATTCAAAAGGGGGGAGAGAACCGCATCCTGAACACGCATGCATCCTTGCTCACGATTGTCAGAAGACTCTGCATTTTGTCAGTGTCTTCACCGAATAGAACTATGTCATCGGTATATTCTAAGTCTACAAGTGAATCTCCCGGTTAAAGTTGAAGTCCTGGAAGTTTAGATGAGGAAAGTGTTATCTCTAAAAGCATGTCAACGGCAATGTTAAACAAGAATGGGGAGAGTGGACAGCCCTAACAAACACCAATCGAGGTAATCAATTC